TCTGTTTGGAAAGAGGGAAGGTCAGTTCCTATGGCCCATGCCAAAGGAGAATTCCTTGTGAAGCACATCACAGAGCAGCCTACTCCCACCACACAGGCCTTCTTAGTGTTGCTCTCTTTATATTATTTTAAGAAGAAGAAGAGAAGCCATTAAAAAAGTGATTAATTGGGCCTGTTTACAGAAACTGTTTGCTTTTGTCATGAATCAAAAAATCCCAGACTGACAAGAGTTCACAGGGTGATCTCAGGGCCTAATCAAATTCTGAATGTTTTCACAGGCATATGCTGGTCTTCCTCATGAACAATTTTTTAGTAAAAATTATCCATATTTGTGTGGGAAGGACTTGCACACACTAATACTTTATTGCTCTGTGCAATAAAGTATTAAAGACATTAAGTGACCCTACTTTACTTGAAGATAACGGTCTGCTAAAAATAATAATCCTGTTAAATGTTTTCTCCTTATCAAGACGCTTGAATACACTAGGGTGAGATCTGAATAAATAAATTAAGTTCAACGATTTTTTTTTTTTTTGTCTCTTTATTTAAACACAAATACATTTACAGCATGCAGGTAAGTTAAAACTATATGGCGTCTTCCCCAAACCAATTGTTTTAATGCATCTTAAGTGTACTGAAGTTAAATTCATATTCCACAGGTAGACTTGTCCTCTCATGTCAAATTTAGAGATACACACAATCGTGAATCAGCATTTAAATTATGTAAATAATTTAGTTGTTCACCAGAAATAAATATTATTTCACCAAGTTCCTACCCTAAACCATCTTTTAAAAAATATGATTTAGAGGAACATAAAAATAAGAAGCGAAGACTGCATGTTGGAAGAGCAGTGTACTGAACATTCCTCGTACAGACTGAGTATTTTAATTTACAAAAAACAGTAATTGTCGTGTCCAGCTGACATGACAGCCAAACCAGCAAAACAAAACCAAAAAAACACTTTTATTTAACATTTTAAGAGGCAGTTCTCAGTAAACTTGAAAGTTAAAAAAAAAGTTTAAATATAAAAAGGTGATGTACACTTCAAGAGCTACAGGCTAGATTTTTATTTTAAACACAGCAATTTTCAGCACCAAACCCCCTGATATTACCTACAGGAATGAACCCCCCACTTACAGGCAAGAGAAAAAAAAATCCTGCTTCATTTGAATGTAGTTTCAAGAAAGTTAGTTATGATTGCAGCTCAAGTAGTGAAGGTCTGAAAACCTGTGGTTAATATTGAAATAATGAACAGTCCTGTTTCCATCATGTGAAATTTCACTTAGAAGTTTGCCATGACTTTATTTTTCTTTTCTCCTTATGCAGTCTTTAATCGTGCTCTAAAACAACTGCAAGTTTGGAGTGTTTGGCAGCCTTAAACAAAATAGCTTTTAAAAGCTGAAAATTCCAAAATAGTGAGATTTCTGACTGACACATTCAGCCTTTAAAAATCAAATTATTAAAAATTCAGGCTATTGTAGTTATAGAAAAAAGTGAGTAAAGGTCTAAAATTGGACTATGCTCCATCATAATATAAATATTTTGTATATTTATAATATAAAAGTTAAGTGATTCGCCCTCTAAAAGAGTCATAGAATCTCTACTGCTTCCACAATAACTGATGAACACCCAGCAAAAAGTGGTATAATCGTATAATACACGAAGTGGTATTAACGGACTCTGAAAAGCAATCTGTTCTTTTTTTAACAGTATTAAGTCTCTTCTTTCTCAAAGACCTGGTGGCTAATTTCTGTCCAGAGGAAGGTTGTTCTAAAAACGGTAGTGGCTAAACCCTATGAATAAGTTATGCAAATTGTGCGAGAAAAAAATTAAAACTTAGGTTCAGGAGCCGTGGAGCTCCACACACAAACAAAAACCCATGTGTCACTTCTTTAGCCACTTTACAGGACTTTATTGCAAAGAGAAGAAAAATATTTGACAACTACTACCTTGGACATTTCATATACCTACTTACAAATGCATTACAAACACAGTTCAGTGTAGTACTTCGCTTTTAATTAAACACATGTCCCTGGGATTTCCAGACACATCAGCTTCAGAAAGACTGAACCTTTATTAGTAAGCCTGACCTCATCACCCAGTTGCTGAAATTAATTCCTATTTTCTTCCCCCCAAACTCGAAGTTAAAGTTTCAGCCCAAACTCCAATACCGTGTACGTGCTGGAGTAGCAGGACAAGTCCCAGCCGACGCTACCTCGTGTCGCTGCTCTGAGCACGAAACGGGACCGCCCCGGAGCTCGAGGATGTGTCGGCTCCTCAGAATGAAGCAGAACCTTTTCACTCCACCACACTGCACTAGGTGCAGAACCAGGAACAAGACAGAGGAGATACTCCACTGCCAAAGCCTCTTTTTGTAAACTGAGGTTTACTCTTATTACTGTACAATATTTCCACATAACCCGATTAACGGGCGTTTTATAGATAACAGTTAAATAGCCTTGTTCAAAACTGAACTTCTGAGCTCTGTGGTGTGGAGACTGCAGTGCCTAATGGCAGTTGTCGTAAGCACACTTCAGTATTCTTATACTGTACAAGCACATTTAGGTCCGATGCTTTGTGTAACATTCCAGGAGAACTTTAATACAGAGTGCTGTCCTAAGTCAGAGTGGAACATGTAGTGTTATGTAGGGTGACAAAAATATGAACATATACTTAAACATTGTTGCACATTCCCTAAGACAATAAAAATGTACACAAATTAAGCCAAAAAAGAATCAAACTAAGATTTTCTTAACATACATTCAGCTTGGCACAGTGCAGACTAAATTTAAGACATGAAAGACAAACCATGTAATGAACAGAGCTACACTGTAAGTAACATGTACTTTTTCAAGACGCCAAAATTGCACTCTAGTTTGTGGGGGGAATCAGTTAACAGAATTTGCAGAAGGGGGAGAGAGCTGTACAGGCCAGGTATAATTTATACATTTTCAAAAAAATAATCCTACAGTCCCCAAAGGGAAAGATTATTGTCATGGAATGACTCCCTCTGTACGATATCCAATCCTCCTCACACAGCACTTACTTTTCAGCAACTGCAAAAGAGAACAATAAAAGTAGGTAAGTGCACGTACACATTAGCCCCAAAAGCCAGGCTCATACTTTACACTTCAAGTAGAACACATTCACTATTTATATAGCTTTTAAGATCTCAATCATTAGATCATGTAAATAAATGCCAATAAAACACTTGCTTTACAGTAAGTTGTGCAATAGTAGGCACTTAATCTCTGTTACCAAGATAAGATTAGAGTTAAATAAACTGAGAGAGCCAAAATTAGATACCCAAAGCTGTGAATATCAAAAACACAGGTCAGTTCTAACACAGCACCATTTGCCATGACTACTGGTGCCTTTTTACCAAGGTGAGAACTGTCTTGATGCCACCTGATTACCCACACGTTTCTGCACAACGTTTTGCTTTTACTGTTTTGGAAAGATGAGGTATGGAATGAAGAGATCTTACAGCACTATCTATAAAAAAAGGTAGCAGTTGAAACATCTTTGTATATTTAATATATGCAGAATACTTTGTTAGAGGGTGATCTCAGACCATAACCCAGTACACGATGCTCCTACTGTAGCAAAACTTCTACTCTAACCAGAAGTTCTCAATTGCTTAGCATCTGTATTAATCTACAAAACAACTGGTAAAATCCACATTACTATGGAGAAGAATGCTACTGGCTGCCTTGCAATTTGTGAAGACAAGACAAATCTGTAGTTAAGCTCTTTATGTGAGCTTGCAATACCACCAAACAACTTTTTTATTAATGAAAATGAAGATTTTCAAAATTTTGTTCTCTTCTTTCCATATACTTGATGAATTCTTCCAAGAAAGAAAATAGAAAAAAAAAACAGAATAAAAAGCAAGACCACTGTCTCTTCCTCTACCTGCCAAACTCAGGTTGGCACTGCAGCCAAGATGCATACATGAAAAGAATTATATACAAATTTTACAGTTCCTCAGGGGATTCTGTCAGACCTTCTCCATCTCTAAAGCTCCTTCTCTAAAGTGAGATGCAAGCTCAAATTTTAGTTACTTACTGTTGATCATATCAATTATTATGAGTACTCTTAAAGATGTGTGAGACTGGATAGGATCTCTTTAGTTAAGAGTTCTAGGCAAAAGAGTTGCAAGTATTTAGAAATTCACCCTACAGAGAGAATCTAAAATCAAACAGGTGAATTACCTCTTATATATGCCTCTCTACTGACTATAAATGCAGTGTGGACAACTTGGCCAAAGCTGACCAAGCTCAGCCAAAGTAAATATCCAAAAAATAATTTAATCTTGGCACTATCATAATCAAGTTTCTGAGTTACTAGCACCTTGCTCACTCAGAGTAAATATTACACAAGACGGAAGTACATATCACTTCTTGTTCTTTACTAAGGGACACCACTAAATAGAAACAAGTTTCTTGACTACTCCTACAGACATTTTTTTTTTCCTGAATACAGGAGGCAGCTTTGAAAAGTCAGCTAATAATTTTATTTCAATGCTATTCTATTTAACACACCACTCTAACGCCATTCAAGAGAGAAACATCTACGGAATCAAATACCTTGTAACTGTTCTAGAAGTATTTTCAAACTGAAGACAGACTAACCTAACCATGAAAATGTCATACCAAAACAGTCAAATAAAAAAATAATAATAATAAAAAAAGAGTATTCACTGAAGTACTGCTAGCAGTAAATAAAACCAACAGATCCATTACAATGCAGATGTTTGCAAAAAAAACAACAAAAAACCCACCTATACCCACAAATCTATTAATTTAAGCATATTAAGTACCAGACTGTGTAGTTACGTAGAAGACTACAGACATCTTTTCAATTTAAAAAAAATGACATATTTAGTTCAATTATTGTATCCATATTTTAACTAGGATAACATTCTGAAGTTACTGAAAGACATGAACACATCTGTTAAGTACACCCAAATCACTGACATGCGAAACCAATAAGCAAACTTAACATCTGCAAGGAAACAACATAATAGGGTCAATTTAATTGTTGAATGCTTTTTGAAGAAAACCACATTGTTTTGGTTTGCTCCTATTTAAAATTAAATTGTGTGACCACTCTCACCCACCAAAGAAAAAAAAAGGCAACAAGTTACGTGCTGCAGCAAGTAACTAGATCTATTATAGATTTTACTTTTTTTTGGTCCTACTTGCAGTAAAAGTTTCAGCTCTGGATCTACCCTTTTAAAACAAACACCATTTTTAAAAAAATGGCAGCATTATTACAAAGATGTCCATGTTTATATAAATTCCTCTAGTTGTAAAATTCACAAAAAGGCAAATCAGATGATGTGACTTCACTGTAAGGCTCTTCAAGGGAAGTTTGATGACAGCGTAAGGGCCCCTTTGCGAGGAGGGCTGCGGACACTCACCCCCTGTCCTGGCGCGCGCCGCCGCGCAGCGCGGTCGCCGGGCCGGCCTGCGGGAACGCGCCGCCCCCGCGAATTGCACTTGGGTGAGTCGGAGACGCAGCGGGATGTTGTCCAGGACGGATGGGCTTGGCTGCAGGAGAGGAGACACGAATTAAGAATACGTACATCACAGCTCGAATATTCACATTGACTAAAGCTTTGTTTTGCAACATCCTAGGAAGGATCAAAGTCTTAACACGTTTTGAATTACAGGAAAAAAGCTTAGAGATGGTATTCTGAGAAGGAGTCACTAGCTGCAAATGGCTCCACATACTGGCTGCTCCACAGCTCACTGGGCTTCAGCAGCTTCTCACCTGCACAGCAGTGCAGAGCCAGCTCTACTGCTGAACTTGAGAAAAGTAGTTTCCACAGGTAATTCACTAACTGTATTCATTTTTATAAACAAAATACGCTGTCAATTAGTTTTGCTCTACCACTAAGACATACATGTTTAACTAACACACAATTTGGTAAGGTTCTGTCATATTGAAGAGCTTTCCCAAAAATTCCTGCCGAAAAACAAAACAAAACAAAAAACCCCAAAAACAAGACAGACAGGTTTGAGAAGAAAAAAGGGTGTTTTTTTTTTTTTTTTTTTTTTTTTACTAACCAATCTGTGCAGAATGTCCTCGCCTGGCCATATTCTTGGATCTCACAGCTTCCTTGATACGGTCCACCTCCTGCTGATAGCGCTTGCGATCCCGAGAGGCGTTCTCTTTGGCCTCCTTCAGCGCCGACTCCAGAGCTTTAACTCTCTCGGCTGTAGCCCTAAGGCGCTTCTCCAGTTTAGGAAGTTCACAGCGAAGATCTGCATTGTCACGTACCAGCTTAATAAATAAATAAATGGAACAGAATTATTTTCTGGCTGAAGAAGGTATGGGAGAACCAAACAAAAAAAGCTAAAAAGACACCCCAAACCAGGTAAAGTAGTAAGACTATTACAGCATACTTCCTTAAGTTATTTAATCTAAGGGATCAGCAGCAAGATTGTCATTTGAAAATTAGTCACCCTGGAAGCACACAGTATTCCATATAGGTGCTTAAGATCTATGTTCTTTGGTCAGGGACAGTCAGGCATCCTCCCAGATTAATACACTAACTCTAAATGCTAACCTGGATCTTCTCTGATTTGAATTCAATTATTTCATTACATACCCACATGCAGTTAAAGTATCTATTAAGCAACTTTTAAAGATTATTTTAGTCTACTGTTGCATATTGAAAACACATTCAAACCATGGAAGCACTGAATTATATTAAAACAGTTTCATTATGAACAATAGGCATTCTAAAATAATTCATCTTATGTCACTTTTTAAATTAAAACTTGAAATTAAGCCTCATACCTGCTTGTGGACCTTTGTGAGCTGCTCAAGATTATTCTCAAGGAAGGAAATCTTCTGCTTTTGTGCAGCACTGCCTCCTGTGTCATCCGAGTCAATCTCGGCACTCTGTAGTGGGCAAGGGCAGGGGGAGAAGAGTACAAATCTGAACTGAGACACAGACCAAACCAGAATAATTGCACCACACTGCAAGGAAAGAGATTAACTGCTAATCTAGTTTTAAAATGAAATTCATGTAATATTCTCAGATACAACAAGTTTTACCATAGCATCACATTACCTTTTTCACTCTAGTAGCCAGATCTTGAACAAACAGCTTCCGAAGATTGTGAAGAGTCTGAAGTTCTTTAGCCTACAGGTAGAAACAACATTTTTAAAAACAATCAAGATTAACTTAGGAGAAAGGAGAGAGGAAAAAAAAAAAAAAAAAAAAAAAGGCAAAGCATTGGCTTTGGAATATATCCTAACTTACCACAGTCTCTTCCAAACCCTTTAGATCTTGCCTTGCTTGTTCCCGTCTGTCCTGCATAACCCTGAAAAAAGATAACATTTTTATTTTAAGTCCTTAAATAAGAATATAGCCAACAGATGACACCACACACAGAAGTCTAAATCAGAGGTGAAAAGAAAGATGGGAAACGAGGTAATTATTTTATTGACTGAGCACCAACAAGTACGTTCAGTTCTATCAACTGAAGGTTTCTAGAATACGTAAAAAAGAATTCTCAGAATCAAAGCCAGGACAAATATTTTGGAAAAATCTTACCCTACAAATATTCTTACTTTTGATCAGACGAGTTGCTAAGTGAAAGAGCCTAGGATTTTCATTTTATCCTCCTTCTCTGCTAATAACTTTGCTTTCAGCTTAAATAAGAAGACAGAAGCTCTACACATGCTTGGCACTAAGAATGCTTGTTTTTTTGAATGATTTTGAGATTATGATCAGATTTCTAATAATTAAGAGATGTTTTGAACTAGCTGACCACTAGCTGAATTAGTGGATAATGCTGCAATTATATAAAGCCTTAAACGTTACATAATAACCTGAAAAGCAGAATTCAATTCCAAATTCTGCATCAACTATACAGCCTCTAATTCACTAAGATATTGTATTCAGTTTTTCTATGAGGTATGAAGAAGTTGAATCTCAAGTACAGGCAAGCTGCACTAAACCACTTAAATCACAGAAGAACCAAAAAGCAGGGAGTTGCTCAACTGAGGTAAAACTTTTCCAGTTTTAGAACATGCAATACTTAACTGTAGGGGAGAGAGGGAAAAAAAAAAAAAAAAAAAAAAAAAGGCAGCTACAGGTTGGAGGAATTAACACAGAAAAGGATGCAACCCTCCTAATACATCTTTCATTCTTTCATCTCCTATCTCAAATATTAAGGCAGTGAAAAGGCACCATCATTCTAAAAGTAAAAAAATTAAGTCAAAGAGCTTTGCTAGCATTTTTTTTTCTTTAAATAAGCATATCATTAAATGAAAGCCACTTCCCTTATCATACCAGGTCAGTTGTTCTATATGCTGTTGATACTTACGTAAGTTCATGCAGCTTTCTGCTTTTTTCCTGATCTGTTGCCTTCAACTTCTCATGTTCAACTCTCAGACACTCCTGTTCAAGCATCATTTTCTGATTTTGGCTGAACAGAAAAAGTAAATATTAGATGCCAGTACTCCAAAAAAGGAGAGGGAAGAGTAAGGAAGAAATCGGCATATCTTTAATCCTTTTAGTTTAAGCTTGCTAGACATGCTAAGGATTTTTCTCCCTGACAAGATAAAAGATCCAAAAGAAACCCATTAAGTTACAATCCAAACCACATCAGCAACAAGTAACTTAAGCTTCTGACATATTGGCTCAAATCAGCTGAACTTGTCAAATATGATACTGGAAAAGTATCATATCAAGTTAGAAACACAGTGTTGCAGGAAAACCTTTTCACCTCCTATCATCTCTACTACGCTTCCTTACAAAGCCTAGGAATATATGGCTAATAGCTAACAAAGTAACTGCAATTACTTACTCTTGTAGCTCAGTGATAAGTTTCTCCTTTGCATCAACTTCATCTCTTAGGCTGCTGATTTGTTTCTGATGTGTCTCACGATGGCTCTGAATCTGCTGTTCCACAGCTTTTGGGGGGGGGGGGGGAGAGGGAAGTTCATGTTACATTCTTTAAAGTTGTTTCACCTAACTTTTAAAGGACAAAAAACAAAACACAACAATAAAAAACCCTTACCTTAACTTCATTTGCAGTTTGAACTTTATTCAAGTGCTCTTTCTCCATTTCATGGACTTTTTCTAATAGGGATAGGGGAAAGAAGAAGAAAAAAAACAACAGAACATTTTAGCAGCCAGATAACTGTGTAATCACAAGGATGACAGGGATAACTGTTGTGCAGCTCATCTGCATATC